GACACTTCTATACTGACACTTGTAAGATCTATTAGGTGGAATCAGGTGCCAATTCCTTACCCCTTATTTAGACTGAATAAAGTAATATTGTGGGAATGTGACCTGCTTTCGTTTCAGACACGTCGGAACGCACCGTAACGGCAATATTGCGGTAATATTACTAGGTCTGAGATAGAACGCCGCGTAACCGAGACGTAACCCCAATAGTGCGGCTGAGTTTACAGCCCTGACTTCTTCATAACGAAGGCAATGTCGGGAAGATTCTCTGTATAAAAGTGGCTTCAGAAACGCCAGTGCGAGCACACTTTGGGCTATCTGGAAATATAAATATGGTTTAATTTTCCATTATTTGATGTAACGAGATTGTCTGTTGACGTTGAAAGGATGAATGTTAAGAGGTCATTGTAACTGTCATTATAAATGAATTGTATCAGGATGAACCGCCCCCCCCCCCACATATAATAATTAAGGGGGTTTGGTCCCCCTTTCGACCGTAATATAATTTCATAAGTCAAGACGATTCCTGAAAATTATCTTACAGCTAGCAGGATACCAGTATCTCTGCCCACAAATATCTGAATTACCTTTAATACACGACTAGAGTGGGAGTGCCTTTATATAATTTGAGGTATGAGAAAAAGCGTGTAAATATAAGATTGCTTTTCGGCACACGTAGAAGATAAAGTAATACATCAAAGACAACTAAGTTTTATTTCCTATGGTACAATACAGAAATTAATTAGATCCTTATGATTGTCGAACATCGCTGATAAAAGACCATAGTGATGTGATGATGATGAATTTTACTATTTATTATATATCATTTCTGGCCATCAGAGGTACTATTTCCTCAAATGTTTTCCTCAGTGTTGACTTAAGGCTTTGAAGTAGGTAAAGTAAGGTAAGTGCATTAAAGACAAGTTTTATAGTCACGGTACATCACACATATTAAATAGATCTCTATGGTTGCCGAAAATCGCTTATAAAAGATCATGAAACATTTTGTTGGCACTTAATTTTTACTATAATGGTGATGTGATAATGATGAACTTTATTATATGAGAGTGTAATTTCCGGCTACCTAGAGGTACTATTTCCCTACATTTTCGCACCTTAGCCCCCACCATTGTTGAAAATGAGGTGGGTGTGGACTTTGAAGTAGGTAAAGTAAATACATCAAAGAAAATGTTTTAAATTGTTACCGTATGGTACAACATACATATTCATTAGATCTCTATGGTTCCCGAAAATCGCTAATAAAAGATCATGAGAAATTTGTTGGCGCTTTATTTTGACTAAAATGGTGATGTGATGATGAATTTTATACTATATAAGAGTGTCATCCTTCTAGACGTACTGTTTCTTCAAATGTTAGCACCTCAGGCCCAACCATAGCGGGGCTGAGATGGGTGTGAACTTTAAAGTAAATAAAGTAATGTAAATACATCAAGGAAAATGGTTTTAAGTTTAAATTTTCAGAGATCCCAAGTTTGAAAACCAAAAAATAGGGAGATTTTTTGTTGGCGCTTCATTTTGATTATAATGGTGAGATGAAGATGATGAATTTTAAGAGAGTGTATTTCTCAAATTATAAACACCTGTGATATTTTATTGTCTTGTTTTTCATCATCTCTTTCAGAATGATGAAAGTGGTGTACCGCAAGCTTAAACATATATGTTATTATTTCGTCATGTAAACCTTCTAACAATACTTTAAAATGATACTCCTGGGCGGATACATAGTGGGTGATGGTCATTGACTTCCGCACCCCCTCCCCCATCATCTTTAACATATTAGAGTGTGCTTAACTGACAAAAACGTCTACAGTTGTTAGATAAATAGTCAACAACTTTTTTTCTTCTTCAGGGGTGGTTGTTTTGGGGGGAGGGGGTCTATCATGGAGACGGAAGGCGGTTCTCCAAGTCATTAAAACTTGTGTTATTTATACAGGGTGTATGAGTTATCTATAGTATAATTCTCTTAACTATTGAGGACGCACTTGCTATGAAGAAGCAAAGTCATGGCGGTACTTGTTGATTAGTTTGAATTACAGAAGTGAAGAAACCTAGTTTGATTTATGTAAAAACGTTGCCCTATAAGGCGGGGATAAGTTATTAGAAGCCACAAATCTTCGGTAAGCTATCAGTTCTGTTGTTTCATTTCCCGTCCTTATATCATTCACGAAGATTTACGTAAATCACGATGGCAACAAGATCAGGAAAAGTATACAAAACAAGTAGCCTGCCAGAACATTTATCGAAGAAAGTTTCGAAAGCAAATGCAGATGCTGTTAGCCTGGGGTCTCGAAGAAGTCGAGTCTCATCTGCTAGATGGTCGCTGCACAAGCTCGGGCCAAAGCTGAAGCAACAAAGGTTCAGTTGGAATACATTAGACGCCAAGCGACTATCCAGCAAGAAATGGCTATTCAAGAAGCTGCACTGCAAGTCCTTGAAGTCGAGAAGAGTGCAGCTATAGCTGAAGTTGAAGCATCCATATTGGAAGCAGCAGCGGTGGAGGCAGAATTGGAGGAAGAAGGTAGTCAAGATCTTCCTAAAGAAAGTATAACATCCAGAGATCGAGTGCAGGAATACATCGCATCACTTGCACCAGTGGATCAAGCGGAACCCGAGGCAGAGACGGAGGTTCCTACCAGCCTTACAACGTTTCATGGCCTACAACAAGAATCCCCACCTAAAGCAGTTGAGCCCTTAGGTTCACCTCATCAATCTACATCTGATCTGAACACCACTTTCAAGCAGTTGGTGGATTCCATTAGACTCCTACCAGTCAAGGTAGAGATCTTCTCTGGAGATCCATTAAAATTTCCAAGTTGGTATGCTTCCTTCAGTGAACTTAGAGCATGTGGTACGTATGAGAAGCTTAATCTATTGGCTCAACATCTAGTGGGTGAACCTAAGATGCTCATCGCTAGTTACCTTTTACTGCAAACCGATGAAGCATATGTGCAGGCGAAGAATGAGCTCAGGAAAAGATATGGTCATTCCACTGTTGTTGCCACAGCCATGTTATCAAAACTGAATGAGTGGCCAAAGATCAATGCCAAAGATAATGTGGCATTAAGAAAGTATTCAGATTTCCTTTCAGAAGTGGTTGCAGCTAAGAAAACAATTGTTGACTTGGGCGTATTAGATTACCCTCAGGAGAACAAGAAGTTGGTGTCTAAGCTACCCTACCAGTTAGAGACAAAATGGATAGCTATAGTCAGCTCCAGTATGGAATTGTCGATATTTCCAAGGTTTGAGCAGTTCTCAGACTTCGTTAAAAAGAAATCAAATGAAGCCAACATCCCCATGTTTCAGACACTTAATCTATCTCAAAGAATGGAAGCATCTGAGGGGCCGGGTGGTAGTCCGTGAGATTGAAGGGGACATTGGATTGATGCTTGGTAATGCAGTTGCGGATGCATACACTCCCCTAGAGGTTATTTCATATGAAAGTCCTGGATCACCCTATGCAACCAGGTCTATCCTAGGGTGGATTCCCTGGGCTATAATTCGACCAGGATTTACCAATACTGTTGCCACAGCCAACAGAGTGGAGTTAAGAGCTGTTGAGGAACACCAGCAGTTAATTAGATTGGTTCAAGAAGCCGCAAGGATTGACTTTCCAGAAATTGTGTCATCAGAGAAAAGGGCCTTGTCTGTGGAAGATCAAAGGTTTCCCAACTTTATTGAAGGGAATATGCAGTTCAAAGATGGACATTACATTGTTCCCTTGCCATGGAAAAATCAAAATGCAGTTCTTCCCGACAATCATAAGTTAGCCCAGCGGCGATATGACTTGCTGGAAAAAAGGTTTACGCGGGATCCCGAGCTTAAACAAAGATACTCGGAGTTCATGAAGAATATGATGGCTAAGGGATACATGGAGGAGGTAGACGAAAAAACGTATGTGGGCAGCAAAGCATGGTATATACCACATCATCCTGTCATAAATCAGGGTTGTTTTTGACTGCGCAGCCAAGTATGCGGGCGTGGCCCTGAATGACCTACTGCTGCAGGGTCCAGATATAAATAACACCCTGATTGGAGTTCTTATGAAATTTAGAGCAGAGAGAATTGCCCTTACAGCCGATATTGAAAGCATGTTCTTGTAGGTCATTGTTAGGGAGCAAGATAGAGATAGCCTTCGGTTCTACTGGCGTCCAGTAGATGGACAACCAATTAAGACATTCCGGATGACGAGACATCTATTTGGTGGCACTTGCTCACCAGCTTGTGCCAACACGACATTGAGAAGGACATTGGAAGATCATTGTATGAAATATTTTGTTGAGGCAAGACAGGCAATGAAAGAGAATTTTTATGTTGATGATTGCCTGGCATCGGCACCTGACCAGATGAAGGCAGTATGCATGATCAAAGACCTGTCCAACCTCTGTCTTGATGGGGGTTTCTGTTTAACCAAATGGCTGTCCAATGATAAAGAAGTGTTAAACACAGTTCCTGAAGCAGAAAGAGCCCCGGAACTGAAGTCTTTGGATTTAAATAACGATGAGTTGCCAACAGGTAGAACCCTGGGAGTACAATGGTCACCTCAACTGGACACACTAAGTTTTAACATAGCAGCCGCCGAAAGGAATTACACAAGAAGGGGAATCTTGTCTATTACCAGCTCAGTCTTTGATCCATTGGGATTGGTGGCCCCTTTCATTCTCCCAGCAAAAATGCTACTACAAGATCTCTGTCGGCAAGGCCTAGGTTGGGACGAACTCATTGATGATTTCTCAATGCAGCGATGGAGGATATGGTTAGAGGAGCTAAAGAGGCTCAAAGAATGGAGTATGCCGAGGTGTTATAAGTCAAATCTGTCCTCAAATATAATAAGTAAACAGATCCATGTATTTTCGGACGCGAGCGAGAAGGGGTATGGCATGTGCGCCTATTTGAAGCAGGAAGCCCAAGATGGAACGATACAAGTTTCCCTTGTCTTAGCAAGAAGTTGAGTGGCTCCTTTGAAATATGTATCTATCCCTCGTATGGAGTTGACTTCAGCAGTTATGGCAGCCCGTCTCACAGATTCTGTATTACGTGAGTTGAATATCAAGGAAGTTTGTTACTGGACAGACAGCCAGACTGTTCTTAAGTATTTACAGAGTGATACCAGAAGATTTAAAATGTTTGTAGCTAATCGTGTTTCTACTTTATTGGACTTGACCAAAGTTTCACAATGGAGATACGTCAGAACGGCTGACAACCCAGCGGATGAAGCCTCTAGAGGCCAAGGTATTGATGATTTCTTGCGAAATAAGCGATGGATCAATGGGCCTGATTTTCTTGATCAACATGTTGAGCAGCACATAAACCCACAGGAATGTTTGGTTGAAATTGATGAGAATGACCCAGAAGTCAAGAAGGTTTCCAATGTGGTTGTAACCAAAAACCAGTGCAGTTTCCTAGACGGATTGATCTCCAGATGCTCAAGCTTCATGAAGCTGAGGAATGTAGTGGGTCTAGTTTTAAAGTTTGTCAGAAGAGCAAGAAAGAATCAATCAAAGAGCAATGGTGTTGATCAATTGGAGGCCGCAGAGAGGTTCATTATAGTTCATGAACAACAGAAACATTTTGCGGCGGAGTTAACTGCCTTGAAGAATGGGGAGAAGAAATCGATAACTTCGGTAATGAAAGCTAGTCCCTTGCGTAAGCTGGACCCTATGGGGGAAGACTGATAAGAGCAGCCCTCCCAGATGGAATAAAGCATCAGATAATAATCCCCAAGAGATCTGAAATTGCTCCATTATTGCCCTTCAAGCCCATAAAAATGTCGGACACATGGGTCGAGCTGCTATGTTAATGTACATGTGGGAGAAACACTGGATTATGGGGGCTGGAGCATTAATAAAAGGTGTTATCAGTAAATGCGTCATCTGCCGAAAGTACCGTGCCAAGTCTGCAGAACAAAAGATGGCCGCATTGCCAAGTGAGCGTGTGCTCAGCGACAATCCTGTCTTTTACAACACCGGTCTGGATATGTTTGGGCGATTTCAGGTCAAGCAAGGTAGAAGTCAAGTAAAAAGATATGGACTTCTGTTCACATGTTTAGCAACAAGGGCTATACACCTAGAAATTGTGCACACAGCCAATGCAGACTCCTGCCTGAATGCGATACGGAGATTTGTATGCATGAGAGGGTTAATTTCCTCCATCAGAACTGATAACGGAACAAATTTTGTGGCTGCAAGCAATGAGTTAAGCAAAGCCATGGAAACATGGAACAGAAGTCAGATCCCTCAATGGCTGGCTCAACATGGAATTCGATGGGAGTTCAACCCACCCGGTGCTTCCCACTTCGGTGTCGTATGGGAGCGCCTAATTAGAGTTGTCCGCCAGGTTATGAATGGAGTTCTAAAAGAACAGCATCTTCGACTTGATGATGAGGGTCTTTGTACCTTTTTTTGTGAGGTAGAACACATAGTAAATGGAAGGCCAATTACCACAGTATCGTCAGATGCAGACGACTTGCGACCATTAACACCGAATATGATTCTAACAATGAATGAAAAATCTGTACTCCCACCCAGAGTTTTCGATAAAACAGACATGTATGTCCGAAGGCGGTGGCGCCAAATACAATATTCGGCCAATTTATATTGGACAAGATGGCGTAAGGAGTATTTGCCTCTAATGCAAAAGAGGCAAAATGGTTGTATCCGAAGAGAAATTTGCAAAAAAGGAGACATTGTGCTAATTGTTGACGATTTATTACCCAGAAGTACTTGGCTCTTTGGACGAGTTATTGAAACCAAAGCAGACAGCAGAGGACTTGTCCGGTCATGTAGGGTGAAAACACAGCATTCTACATTAGAAAGACCCATAATACTAAATTGTGTTTGTTAATGGAATCAGAGAACAATGGGGCAGAATAAACCCCTCAGTTTAATAACCGGAGGGACAGTCTACTCCCTGAGATGGTTATCATTGTCAAAGTATTAGTAACTGATTAATAATAGTTGAATCTTATTGTACTGTGGAAGTGGTGATTGAAAAGCAGAAAACTATTTACATTTTGATCTTCATACTTAAATTTTAAGATTTAATGTTGACATTGTTTGTTAATTAGTTTCAGATGTTATGTTTAATTTCTAAGTGTTTCAGGAATTATTATATTAGTGTAATTGATCCTCAATTAAGGGGCCGGTGTATGAGTTATCTATAGTATAATTCAGGAATTATTATATTAGTGTAATTGATCCTCAATTAAGGGGCCGGTGTATGAGTTATCTATACAGTAGTATAATTCTCTTAACTATTGAGGACGCACTTGCTATGAAGAAGCGAAGTCATGGCGGTACTTGTTGATTAGTTTGAATTACAGAAGTGAAGAAACCTGGTTTGATTTATGTAAAGACGTTGCCCTATAAGGCGGGGATAAGTTATTAGAAGCCACAAATCTTCGGTAAGCTATCAGTTCTGTTGTTTCATTTCCCGTCCTTATACAGGGCCTGAAGTTAACTTCTTTCTGCACCCACCTCCTGTAATTATCTGGACCCGCCCCAGTATCTCACAGCCTGCGGCTCCCGTTTGGCACCCACGTCTGACACATGCAGTCAGTCAAAATAGAAAAAAAATCATCGTAGAATGTGCCGATGTATCCTTGTCGGAACAATTTTATTACTTATACTGCAAATCTGCACTTGTTGGAGAGTTAACTAAATTCTATCTGCTCTCATGGATGCAATATGTGCTATTTGTGACAATAAAACGTTTAACCCGTTCGTTTTAGTAAGTGGTTTCCTACATCTAATAGTACCACAACAATTACTCTCAGGAAATCAAATAAATTCAAACATTTAATTGTAAAACAAATAGTTTTAAGAATAGTCCACTCCCTTATCTTACCAATTTAATTGAGCTTCAATAATGACTTTATCTTCGGCACACAGTGCATGCATCCTTGCTTAGTTTTGTGTATCTGGTCCTTTCTTTCCAATGTTATATCAAATTTTCAACCATTTTTTAATGCAATATTTGTAAGACATGTTAAATTTTCAATTAATTTTTTTGTATATCAATAATAACTGATTATTCTTAATATTTATTATTGTAATTTAATATTTAATCTGTAAATGTTTGAATGTGTAGTTTTGTTTATGCCTCTTTTTTTATTGTTTTATAATTTAATTTAGATTTTGCTGCAATAGAATGATTTTATATATATACATATATGTATATATGTATGTATGTATATATATATATATATATATTATATTATATTATATTATATATATAATAATGGTGGTGCTGTATAGGCAAATATACAACATAAAATAAACCTAAATAGCTAGTCAAATGGTATCAGATATATGCTACAAAACTGCACCCAACGGAAGCACAGTGGGCATAGCTAGTCGCGAGAGTTCCAAATTGTGTGAAAGTGGTCCCGGTAGCGTGAAAATTTAGGCGTTTTAGAGTCTACTAAATAATTGTATTTCTCCCCAGGGGAGGCGGTAGCTCGGAATACCAAGTTTCTCTTAATTACTTACGTTTCTTTTACTTAAATAGGCCTACTCTATATCCGGAGTAAGGAAAAACCCCCTCCCTTGTCAAATATTTTAAAAACGAGAGTGATAATCTAATATTTTTTCTATATACCCTAAAAGAGCACCGAAATCCTAAGGGGAAAACCACAATTAGGCCTAATAGAACGTACCCTCTCCCTTTCAAACTAAGGGACAAGAAAATATAGATCCAGGTCCTCTAATACTTCTTTGATTGATCAAGACATTTTTCGTTAGTTATTAATAATCACCTCTTTAGAATAAGACAATCAGATGTCGAGTATGCTTTGTTAGGTGCGATTTTCACGCTCTATGGTGCCTTTACCAACCGTCCTCTAATTGACCATAGAGAAAATAGAACTGTTCTATTTTCTCTATGAATTGACCCTCGCCATTCTGTATATTATTTACTGATGCACCCATGGTCGGTCTTCGCTAATGAATAATTCGAATTCTAACATTACGGTTTTTTCCGGATGCCCTCTTCCCGTCGATTGACAATCAACCTCCCATCCGATGGTTGCCACCGAACATATTACCGCAACAGATGTCACCCAGTGAATTTGCAAACCTGACTATTCGTCACCCATTGTTGCGACCCGGATTAACCATGGCCTGCCATCCGGCCTGTTACCATAATCTGGTCCGTGCTCTCTGAACTTATCTTCTCAGCCACTGGGTTATAGGGTCTTAGGCTTATGCTCAATAAGTTCTTTTTTTATAATTATTATGATAATTAATTTCATTTTCAACATATCACCGCTTTCCTTAAATCATCGAATATGCGCCGCGGAGCTTATACATACTTGGAAGCTTTAGTGTTCGGCGCATATTCGAAAGCGGCGCCTATTAAAACACATTGGCGTGGCGTTTTCCCGTGGACCTATATAACCAGGACTATCTATACTAGCTTGGGACATTTTGGATTGTTTTCTGTTCACACTACGATTAACTTTTTTTTATTTAAAGGCCATCTATACCTGTGGTAGTTGTAGTTCGGTAGGCCTATCATATGCCCTACATCATCGTATATAAACGTTCATAAAGTTATGCTTGTGTCTTATTCATTGTGTTATTCATTTGAACACTGTATACTTTGTATTTAAAGCCCTGTTTCTCAAACTGTTTTATTACACACATGATAATATGAACTCTGGATTAGGCACCGCTGCGCCTATTCAAAGTTGAATAATCTCGAATAAGAACCGCGGCGTTTATTCGAGAGCGACGCTTAGGGAAAAAAGAAATCACGTTTGGTGCGGTGGTTTTTGTGAGCAGCGCTTATTCGAGGATTTAATGAAAAAAAATTTTTTTTTCTTATTTAGCAAATAGTTTTGCCAAAAACATCCAGAAGGAGAAGGAAATACAAATACAATTTTATCGGTGAATGTAAACAGTACAGTAATGGGATAGTTAAATTCTTTGAATTTATGTAATCAGGAAGAAATATAGCCTACATATCTTATTTTTAAGGATTTCGAAGCAGTGGCGCGGCGGGCGTAATATAAATATAAACAAGCTTTAATATTTTTTCTTAAGTTTTAATTTTTCTTTTCGTGGCGGTGGTTTACGCTAATTGGCAAAAAACTGAATTTTATTTTTATTCGAAATCATCATTATTGGCAGGGGCGGGTATAAAAAGTATAAAAATCTTGACTAAGATAAGATAAACTTTATTGTGATAATTCAGGCATGTGAATATGAAATTATTGGACTTGATGCAATTTCAAATATTTGAATACAAATGCAACAACGAACGTTAGGCCTAAATGTGTAAGAAAATACAATAAAAATTTAATTTTAAAAACCTTACAAAGCAATGGCATACATATAAATATTTAACATGGTTAACAATAGAAATACAGTGGAGAAATTATCTTTTAAAATTATCATTGGCTATATGAGTAGAGTTAAAAGTGAAAGACTGTTTACATCGCTTGGTCCACCGGAGTGGCTTAGTCCAGATTTTGTTGTGACATAGATTTTATTAAGTGAATGGGCACCATCATTCATGATTTTTCCAAGCATATTAGTTACATTCTTCAAGTACAAACTGTTTAGGTCATTTAATTTTTTTTCCTTATATTTTTTTTCTAGCATAATTCATAGCTTTCCCAAGCTTATCTTTGTTAAATTCACTTACTAGGGTATACCACATGACACAGTTTTAC